CCGGCCTCCACCGCCCAGTGTGGCAGCTACAGTTGAATTCTACTTCCGGCGTCAACCGCCCAGTGTGGCAACTACAGTTGAATTCTACTTCCGGCCTCCACCGCCCAGTGTGGCAGCTACAGTTGAATTCTACTTCCGGCGTCAACCGCCCAGTGTGGCAACTACAGTTGAATTCTACTTCCGGCCTCCACCGCCCAGTGTGGCAGCTACAGTTGAATTCTACTTCCGGCGTCAACCGCCCAGTGTCCGGCTGGAAGAAACTGCCATGATTCGCAGTTGTTCTATTTACAACAGGTATGATGACTGGTTTTGAGACGCTATAAGCTATATAAGAGATTCTGGAGTCGACTCCACTAAGCGTAGAAAATCAGAAATTATAAAAAGTACGTATCTAAAAAAAAGCGATTTTGATTTTTTATCTTTATATTTGCTGAACGGACTGCCTCTAATTTCCGCATATTCTTGTGAAAATCCCTTCAAACTTAGTTGACAGATTTACAAACTGATTTTAGATAGAATTGGATATTGGCAGTATCGTATTTTTTGTCAGTTTTAATGGCAGTAAAGTTATTTTGTCACAGTTTCTTTGGTTGTTTTTGGAGTCGACTCCATGGAACGATCTTTCTTCACCTTCGTGAGGCATCATAGTGATTACTGCCTACTGGCACCATCTTCATAGCGTCCGAGGACGCATACTGACGTGCTGATGCTCAAGCTGCAAAGGCGGGCGGGGCAAAAAATATAACCTTCGTAAAAATGAATAAGTTTTTTTGTAATAATCTTTAAACCGCGGCTGTATCTTTTTGTGCCGTAAAAGTTAGCGTAGAACTTATAATTTCCAACTTACTTTGGAAGTCGTTTTTAGAAGCTTTAATGTACTGCACTCAGAACTTTTGCTTTATCAATGTCAGGAATTTTATTGTAACTTTTGCCGCACGTTACTCGTAATTTTGCACATACTTCAATTCAACGCATAAAAAAATTACACAAACATTACAGCAAAAACGAAATAATAAACAATACAATTAATTATCGTCTGATGTGCTGCTTTAAAATGCAGAAATTTAGACAGGAACAACATAGGCAAAACCCAAAAACCAAGCAAAAATAAGCCCGCTGCGCTTCCGGAGTCGACCCAGTTCGTCAAATGGGCAATGCAATCCGCTACAGATTCCTGAGGAACGGAAAAACGTACATTTACCACAAATCAATTTTTTGAACCACACGTTCACAAATTCAATAACTCAGCAGTTCACTCAACGCAGATTTACTCACTTGTCAGTTCAACAATTTACTCAAACGCCTCAGTCAAAAGTGTAGAGCTCACCTTTTTTCAGACGCGCAATGTGCTTGACAGCGTTGGCCCGTTTCAAAATTTCGGCTCCCGGCCCGTTACCGTCCCGTTAGCCGGCCTTCCCGTCCCGTTTACCGTACCGTTTACCAAAACGCCGCCGTTTCCCGGCCCGGCGCCCGTTTTTAAAATTTTTCAAAAAAATTTGAAATGAAAAATTACAAAAAAATTTTTCCGCGGTTTTAGTTTAGGTATACTATTATTACTGTAATTTCAAAACCTGCTTGTAAAAGGCAATCAACAGTGGGCTTGCACGGATAATAATATTCAGGGCCGTCGCGAAGTCCGATGATAGGGTGAGCGCGCGGTCGCGCGCCAGCTCGAAAATGGCTCAAAAATTTAAAAAAATAGTAGAAAAGCGGCTCAAAAAACGCACTTTTCTACGCTTTTCTATTGTTATTTTCGGTGCGCCAGCCAAAGCGCCAACGCCAGTTCGATTTTTTTGAGCCAGCGCCAATTACGCTAGCTCCCGGCGCACCATTTTCTCGTTTTTTTCCCTCCGTTTTTTCCCTCGCGACGGACCTGATAATATTGATTAGTAGACCCCGAGCAAACTCTGGTGCAGAAATGAACAGTATCCAGAAGACAATGTACAGCAAAATTAAAATCTTGCGGCCACGAACAGCTTTTAATGAGCAGACTAAATACTTCGATTTTCTCATATTTTGCTCACTTCCTAACAAAATTAAAATTACCTACAGAGATCACTACATTTCGTAGTAAAAACTTGCCCTGTCACATCTGATGATCCATAAACTGATAAATACCAAAAAATGTTCAAACAAACACAAAAGGATCAACAGGAAGAGGACGGTGTGCGAGGCGAATCTTACATGCATTCTACTAGTTTCAACAATTTTAGTTTTCATTGAATCGGTTTGTACTAGTATCACAATTATTTTAATTATTTTAATTATATAAAGCAGAAGATACCGGGTTGCTAACATGTAAAAAGCTCGGGTTTTTCAGCCCCTACAATTTCAGCCAGCTTCAGTGTACATGGTTTACTAATACTTGCGTACAGTTATCACTTACCGTAAATGCTAAGGGTGGGCCTCAGATTCGACGCGAATCTCGCTATGGTACGGTTGCTTAACCGTCCGAGGTGGCTGTTTGCAGTGACCGCGCCTACAGATACGGTACGCGAAGGCACCTCGCGAGGTGGGAACTGCTGTATCATCTCTAGATTCGCTTCCAATCTGAGACCCACCCTAACTACATCAGCCATTAAGCAATCGTAAATTCATAACATGACTGTGATTTCGTAATTTTCATTTGTAAATTTTTTTATCAACGGAAACGGGAACGGAAATTTTCCCGTAAGAACAGCCGTTCAGTTCCCGGCCGGTTCCGTTCCGTAAGACGTCTGACCCGTTCCCATTTTTCTACGGAAACGGGTAACGGAACGGGAGACTTTCCCGTAATTTTCCGGTACCGTCAAAAAACGGGCCAACACTGGTGCTTGATATCTCCATCCAAAGGCCGAAATTATATTTTAAATTATGCACTGGATCTACACTACAGAATACATTTCTGCCAAAGACGAGAATTTTTTCTAAATTTGGACCCGGAAAATGTGCCCTGGTAAGTTTGATTATTCATAGTTAAATTGCAAAGATTGACTAGAATCGAATGAACGATCAACAATGTTGTGAAGGCCTGGTTTATGAATAAGAGATCGGTTGGTACCTCTAATTCCCGACCAGATCACCAGCAAAATCCCACAACAAGAAACGGTATTTAATTTATTATACAATATCAACAAAAAGCACACTTTTATCTGTACTATCATTGAGTTTGCCAGCTGATGTACCGTATAACTATCTCATCACAAGTTCACAACTACAAATTAAGAGGATTTCGGCACTATTCAAGCGGGAGCTATGATATACGTACCGGTACGGCGATACGTGACTGATCATCTTGAGTGAGGCGCCTGTTTTTTTACAGAATCATAATAACATGAGGTCACAGTTTGAATACTACCCTAGTAGTCTAAGTTAAAGAAGGCAATGCGGCAGTGTTAAAGATGGCGTGTAGCCACATTATTGTTAAAGCATCAGACATTTGCCAAAATAATCAAGTGTGAATAAGTACATACAATATCAATAAAAAGTATGATAACACGAACACAAACTAACCAGGGCACAATTTCCGGCTCCAGATTCAGAACAATCTCGTTTTTCATTAAAACGCAGAATATTACCTTAGTATGCTTGAAAAAAACATTTTTTCGTCGGACAATAATTTGTAAACAAAAATCTGATTGTGCGCTTGTGCTTATGAATGAGTCAGCACCAAAATTTTCTAAAAGTTCTCCGTTCGCGTGTCGTGCTCTTCAAAAATGTCGGAACGAGATAACTCAAAGGATATGCGGATACTGCAGTTGCAATGTCCGCAAAACCATACAGATAAAGTAAAAAAAAAACCCTGTGCTACACATTGCCTGCACTATAATAAATAGACAGTATTAGTACTACGTACTGCGTAAAAACTTGATTAGTAATCAGTCTCGCGCTCCGGCCACTGACCTTGACAGATGAAAATATTTTTTTAGCATACTAGGGGACTATTCTAAAGCTTTACGTATGGCGAGGTGGCCTGGTAAGTGCCCAAACAGAACATCATTCATAACAAATTAAGAAAAACACTTCCTCTATAAAGCTATGCTGATCGGGGAGTGAGCATACGTAGTACTACTGAGTAGTACAGTAGTACTTGCTTCTATTATCTATATCGAAACATAGCGGAGCGGCTTAGTTCATTCTTTCTATGAAGTTAATTATTGTTTTAATATGGTTGTTTTAATAATACGGAAGAACTGAACTACATATAAATTACTTTGCTTACGGTACGTGATTTAAAAAAATGTCTATTTTAGATAATTTCTGAGCAAATTCTATGGAATACTTCGACTTTTCTTGTGTCCCGGCCAACTTTAAAGTTTAACGTTTCGGCTACTGGAAGCTAAAGTTAATACTGCTTAGACCCATTTGAGAACTAATAATTAGTTTTATTAGAAATAATTAGTTTTTACTAACAGATAAGTTTTAATCATTAAAAGTATTTAATCTCGAACCGCCAACTCAATACACTGGTCGGTTGACGCCGGAAGTAAAATTTGATTGTATTGACAACACGGGCGGTTGACACCGGAAGTTTATTCTACAGTAAGTGCCACACTGGGCGGTTGACGCCGGAAGTTAAATTCAACTGTATTTGCCACACTGGGCGGTTGACGCCGGAAGTAGAATTCAACTGTATTTGCCGCACTGGGCGGTTGACGCCGGAAGTACAATTCAACTGTAGTTGCAATACTGGGCGCTTCAAAGGCGATAGGTTCTGTACTCCGATATCGTGCGGTTTGTGATGGATTAGACTAATAATTAAAAACTGTTGCTTCCGGAAAAAAAGGTCGTACCATGCTGTTAAACGGTTAAGGTGCAAAAAAGAGGCGAGCGGCTGCAAATGTGGACAAAGACGAAGCAGTATACTACAGAAGTCGTCTTTCAACAGGATGCTACTGTTTTAAAACTGTTTTCATACTTTCAATGTTTTTCTAGAACATCTGTTTCAAGTCTGATTTAAATTTGAAAAAAGTTTTTTAATGTTTAAGTTTAATTGTCACGTGACCTTCTGTCCTGGTTGGTACTCAGTAATGTTACACGAACAAAAAAAGTACTACTAATTCGCTCGGTGGTGCAACACGCCTGTTATGTATTCAACGGAAAAACATCCACGAAACCAACAACAACAAACCCCCGATTTCAAACTAAGAACATTATAAACGTACTACATGCTTCACGTCAGCGGCGGACACGGATCGCTCATAGACGGCGCACTGTGCATCTGGGCGAAATTGTTGACGGTGCCAGTGCGACTCCCGCAGCGGCTGTGCATATCGCACAGACACAGCCGCGAATTGAACTGCGTCCCCTGCGGACACAGGAAGCGGAAGGAGCGCCCGAACTGGTCGCAGTATAAAAACAGGTCGCAGGCCGCACCCGGATCCGCAAAGTACCCGATGCGTCCGTTGCAGCTGTGGTTGGCCGGGATCCCGGTGACGACCTGGTTGAGCGCCGGACCCAGCGGGGACCACTCCGCCGGCGCCATAGTGGTGGTGGTCGTCACGACTACTTTATGCTTCCGCTCGGTGTTGACGTGGAGCCGGGCCTGGAGACTGGGGGCCGTGGAGGTCGGCGGGATCTCCGGGGTCCGCGGGAAGCTGTCGGCCGGCGGCGCTACCTCCCGGTCGAAGGACGGACGGGCGCCGCGGTCCTTTGAAGTTCCTGGTGTCTCTGGCGGCGGTCGCGGGAAACCGTTTGCCGGTGGCGCCACCTCCCGCGGGGCCTCCGGACTTCCGAAGGGTGTTCGCGGGACGGGGTCCTTGGTGCCTGGGGACGCAACCCCAATCCCAGCGTCCTTGGGGTTCCCCGGGAGGAACGTCAGCGTGACCTTGTCGGTGTTGGGGAAGTAGGGCAGGAAGGCCGCCGGGATGGCGGCACCCCCTTCGATCAGCTTGGGTGTTAGTGGGTACAATCGGGCGTGGTCGCCGGGGCTGAAGGCCAGGTGGGGCTCGATGGGGGCCGCCGGTGGGGCGCGCGAGGAAAAGGGGGCGCGCGTGGTGCGTAATTTCGCGATGGTGGAGGTCAGTTCGGAGGGGGCGATGGTCAGCCGAGACGAGGGCGGCGGCGGGGTGGCGGTGGTGGGGGACATGGTGGAGGGACGGTCGATGCTGCTGGGAGAGTGGGGGAGATGGTTGGGGGTTTCGGTGGTGTGGTTAGCTTTGCGGTACACGATACTCAACACGGAAAGACGCTTCTATAAAGAGAAATATAATGAGAGACCTGTTTTGTTATTACAGTCACACTTACAAAAGAGAAACTAAATAAAAACAAGATAAAAATTTACATATAAATAAATAAAAACAGAAGTAAATAAATAAAAGATTATTTAATTAATGAATAAATACGAATCGTAAAAATTAATTTGCGTACCAAACTGTTATTCAGCAGCCACAAATCTTGCCGCTAATAATAATATGGAAGATTGTAGTCGATTAAATTACGAAGAAAAAAATAAAGAACAGAAATTTTAAGCTTACGGCGGGCTTTTTCTGTGCTCAAAATTTAACAAATTTTTCTTGCACACAATTTACACATCCTGATTTTCGTTAAAGACAACCACGAATTATGAACGACAAAAATGCATAAACAAGTTCACATTGATTCCGGCAATAATAATATAAGAAAATCGTAAGTACTTAATTAAAGCGGAAATTACTATGCATTCAAAAACAGAAAACCGATACGGTTCGGCGGCAATCCTTGACCATTTACAGAGACAAGGATTGTGTTGAGCACTTTAGCGACTTTACAGGTAACACGACATATCACGTTACTCGCTACATTAAAACGCATTCACTTTTAAAATCATTTTTATCGGATTCATACAGAGTAATTTATTAAATTATTTAAAATATTAAAATATGATTACAGAAATTCATAGTGATTAGATTATTATTTGAGTGAAATAAAAAAAATAGTGGAATTTCTTGATGGTAAAATAAAAACGCCGTACCTGTCGTGAAGTATGCACTGGTCCAAACGCCGGTCGAAACGCCGACGCTCCATGAAGAAATAAACTGAATAAATCCACAAGTAAAATGAAGAATCCTGCAACCGGCATGAAAAGGTGTAAAGCGGCGATCATTAAGTGAAATTAAAAGCCCCCGCAAACCGGTCGATTGGGGCGTTTAATGGGCGGTTTTTACTGCTTACCGAGCAGCTGCATGATTGTAATCTCCGCTTGACAACACCGCCGCGCGCGACCGGAAATCCTGTCGCGGTACGGTAATCGCTCACGTGGATGATTTAAGGCTGATCGGCCGAGAATAACGTGTACGGTATACACGCGTTCAGGGAGCAATAATAATCGGCAATAAATTAATCCGTGGCGTGTGTGTATACGGACGCAATGTTGGCTGGTTATTTTGTCGGCTGTTGATAATGAGAGTACACCGGCAAGGTCTGTGCCGGGATCGTGTTACGCCGGTGTGTGAATACGAGTGGAGTGCGGCACTCGTACTTGACATGGTTATTCACTAACGGCACCTGGCGCATGTATTACCCGGCGACTGAATATGCAGTGAAGTGTTGTTTGCTAACATGTTTCCAGTGATATTTTTCCAACTAATTACACCAACAGTGAATAAAACGTGCGCTGCCGTTTCCTGCCTCACACCGAAAAGTAACTTTCCAACGGGAATGTGATGTTTTTCTAAAGAAGAAGTTAATCTGCCGTTCAAAACTGAGTGGTTACTGACTTGCAATTGACTACCGCTCTCCTGTACAGGCTTTTGCTCGAAATCTGAAATGACGGTTTCTTGAAGTTAATTGTTTGAATTAGTATTATCAACGATGTTAGTTAACGTGTATAATTAAAATTAACATTTCCTTCGCTTCTCAAAATTAGAAGCGAAAGTTCCCGTTTATGTCCAAGACTTTTGTATCTCAGTTGCTTCTAATGAAAACGGTTGGTTTTAAGGGAAGTGGCCCGGGACATGGTACCAAAATTGTGTACATGCAGGAAATATTTCACTTTCGCGCACTCCCAACCCTTCTCTCTCTTGTTTTATGACATTCTGTAGCCAGATGATTTGTACACACAGGCGTGAAAACCGCTTGTGCGCGCCACATCCGGTTCGGTAGTTATGACTCTTAGAAAATTCCAAAAAGTTTAAATGCATTCAGGTGTACCAAAAGTCTCATTACGAACCAAATTCTATCAAATTTTGCATGTAAATGCAAATGGCCATGAAGATCGTTTTTACACCGATCCACTGTTCTAGCATGTTTTTCAAATTTTAAAATTCATTTTAAAACTGGAAAAAAATCATGGAAAACCGGATCGGTATAAAAACGATCTTCATGGCCATGTGCATTTACGTGCAAAATTTGAAGGAGATCGGTCCATAATGAGACTTTTGGGACACCTGAATGCATTTAAACTTTTTGGAATTTTCTAAGTGCCATAACTCCCGAACCGGATGTTGCGCGCACAAACGGTTTTCTCGCCTGTGCATACAAATCATCTGGCTACAGGATGTCATAAAACAAAAGAAAAAAGGGTTTGGGAGTGCGCGAAAGGGAAAGATTTCGTGCATGTACACGAATTTGGTACCATGTACCGGACCACTTCCCTTAAGGTTGGAAAACAGCGAATCGTTGTTGCGGTAATATCTCTGATACGGCAACTGCAGCCTGTATGCAGGAAACGCTTTATAAGGCTCGATAAAGTGTATCATGCGTTGAGCACCTGAAAGGCTGTGCCTGTGGTACACAGAACGTGCGTCCAATTTTCAAATACTGTAACCTGAGCAACTGAATAAAACATTCCCTGTTGTGCAAGCACGTTAACAACTTACCGGTACCTGGCAGCACCACCACAGTATTCATTCGACACCTCTGTTTGATTTCCGGTGTGTCTCGGAAGTTAAACAGTTTCGGGAAGCATAAAAAACGGCTCAAACGCTACTCAGTGAACACAAATGCTCACAGAATCGTAAATACAGAGTGCGTGGCTCATTATGCCACGAAAAGTGTTGTACTGACATTCTGAAATTCTTAGGATGCCGGGCAACCGGAAATTATGCCTGCCTATAAGCAACTTTATCTTCCGACAGAAAAAACAGCACCCAGAAAATCTGCTCTGTAAAATATAGCCCCATCAATCCATTTTGCGCACAACATTTATTCCATTTCAATCTGTTTAACTGTTCAATCTGTCTATCTGTTATCTGTTATCTGTTTAATCTGTTTAATCTGTTCAATCTGTTCAAGTACTTTCCGGGGAAAACGAATTAATGTAGCTTGACATTTTTCTGCAGCGAACATTTTGCGCTGTCCCAAACTTTAACGATCTCCACCGACATTATTCGAATCTGTCGAGGCGGCCTGAATTGATTTGACAATGCCAATGCTTAGACAGTCAGGAACAGTGCAATTTCCTGTTGCCAGCTGGCTTTCCCAATCCTTCCTTTAACTAATCTGCACGCTGCACGCACGGCTATTTGCGCTTCCCAACAAACCATGACCTCATATGTTTCCACATGGCGTTCAATATTGCGTGTGCTTTTGCTCAGTGGACACGCGCTGATTACCGGTGTCGACTGGCTGGATTTTTTCCTCAATGATTCAGCAGACTACTCCCGTGAATGCGCCCGCTACAAATACAACCCTGTTTTATTTATTATTTCCAGCACCTTCTCGCAAATCACCTCCAGTATCGCCTTTCTCGTTCTGACCGTCTGGTTAGTTTTCCGTCGTCAGCAGTGGACCATCTACCGGACACTACGCAGCGAGTTTTGTAGCGACCCCACCGATTTCCATTCGGCGATTGCTGGCCGCCACCTGGGGCGGGCGCTGGCCGCGATCCTGTGCCCAGCTGGCGTCGTGCTGACAGCGTTCTGCGGGTTGGGCTTCAAGTCCCTTGTGGACGATCTCTCTAACTGGTCCGCGGTCCGATATGCATTCTTCAACATACCAACGGTGTTGCTGGACGTATGGATGGTTTTAATACAGGGCGTTAACAGCACGATCTTCTACGCAAGTTTCGCCTGCATTACGGTTATTTTTTGCAATTTTATCGAGGCCGGGAAGAACTTATTAGACAGTCTGAACAGTCTTTCGCAGCGCCTGTCACTAATGTCCGTCACGGAACTGCTACCGTTCGTACGCCGATATGAAGCGGATTTGGAAATACTGGGAGCGATCCACAGAAAAATGGAGACTTGTATCGGCTTGCCGCTGCTGTTGACCTGCTTATCGACCGTGTATTCGTTGGTTTCCACGGTGGCGATTATAATGCTGGATACCTCTAAAGATCCCGACTTTTACGCTGTGTATGGCACTCACAATGTGCTTCACGTTTACATGCTCCTGGTCTTGATTGTACTGGTCGACACCGCGACTAAAAAGGTTGGTGTTTGATGGAACGAGATAGACTGTTTCTTAAATACCGGCATAGAATAAAAAATTTAGCAGCTTAAAATAAATAAACATAAATATGAAACTGAGAGTAAATGAAGAACTGGCAATTTGATTCGATGTGATAACTGCTAAATTAATCGAGTTCCTTGTTATGCTAACGCAGAACGACGACATTGTGAAGACATCACGTGAACTATTGGCCGACTGCATCCGACTGCACCAGGAAGACGTCCACATACCATCTCCGCCAAGCAGTAATGGGTGGAAAGGGCAGATAACGGAAAAGGTAACGCAATCATCATACTGTACTAAGAACGTAAACGGGTGTGATCATTTACAGAGTAGAGCGGAATAATTTTCACCGCACTTTACTTAACAAAAATTATGCTGGACGTGTAATGTATTCCACCGCGCTGGTACCTCTCTGTTTGTCATTTTAATTTGTGAGTTTTGGCAGGCGCCCTACCCGACAACGGACTGCAGCGTGACGTCGCGCAAAGGCCGGGTCTCGGTAATGCGCAGGGTGGTGGCCGCTGCAAAAGGTCATTGTCACAGCGAATTTTACGCTTTCCGTATGGTGACAGTACGACGCGGCGTCATCTTTACGGTATGCTCGAATCTGTGTAACAATATAGGCTGAGCGCACAGATTTTATAGTAATGCGGCGGAGAGGGATTTTACCAATGAAGTTTTGGTCTGCTGGCCGAATAATCGAAACATTTAAACAAAAATAATTGGTTCTTTGTCAATGTATGGCGAACTGCATAACCGTATGCTCTGATAATGGGGCGTTACAGATTGCTGGTTTGGTGATGATGGCCGCCTTCTTCTTCTGGGATCGCCGCGAAGGCTACTCGGGCGCCGGCGACTGTCCCGGGCTCTTCGGCAATCGGACAGGGACGCCGTCAAACAATACGGAAGTCAAGCATTTATAGTTAATGTTGGAGCTTACCTTTGCATGGCATACAGCACTACTGTCTAGTGCTAAGTTCTCTAAAACTTACAGCCTTCTGTTGTACAGAAGCATGATTATTGGATTCCACGACAATCTTTATGGAAGAGATTCATGCTAGTGAGCGGTTTACCGAAATGTAAAGTGCTGTACAAAGTGCTAGGCATAGGACCACGTTTAGAACCAATAAAAGTTAACTACAACTGAACAGGATGTTGCACGAAGCACTTATTGGTGCGGACTCACCCGTTACCATGTGCAACTTTCCGAAACGTCCGGACGTCCTAAATGTCCGGCGGAAAGTCTGGAACTGCACGATCTTCATAGTTATATGCGTTGACACATCAAATTTAAAGGAGATCGGTGAAAACCGTAAATTAATTACATAGTGCGGCTTTTAGTATGCTTCTGAATGAAGTTGCTGTTAGCGTTCGAACGTTTGAGGTTATTCACTTGAAAAAACAATCAGCGTCCTCTGACGAAGGCCAGTACAGCTTATAATCAGGAAACGCTTTCTAAAGATTTGGTAAACTGATAAGGCGTATTTTGCGTAGAAATAAAACGCGTTTGTACAGCGAATCCGCTCTTCAAATATTGTAATTTGAGCAGCCTAATCACATATTCTCCTGCTGTAGAATCACAGTATTAAGTTACCGGTATCTCTCTGTGCTAGCTCTTTAATCATTTGATAACTCGGTTTACTTCCGGCGTACCTCGCGCTGCATAAAAAGCCGATTGAAAAATGGCTCTAGGAAAATCATAAAGACTCGCAGAAACTCATATAAGAAGAGAGTGGCTCTTATGCCATTAAACCATGTATTTACATTCTGCATTTCTGAGGAATGCAGACAACCGGAAATTATGCCTGGGTACATGCAATCTATCTGCCAACAGAAAAACTATCAGCCGGGAAATGTGCGCTAAAAACGTAGTCTTATTATTTCTGCCCTCGTTCAGTTAGTTTCTCATGTCAATGTGTCTAAACACAGATAAAGAGAAGAGTTGGATTTTAAGACGAATCTGTCGAGGGCGACCTGCATTTACTGACTAATGCGTCGGAATTTTACTATTACCAAACCGTAGCAGTGCTCGTTTATTTAAGCCTACTTTGACCGATCCGCAAGACAAATCATGGCCTCCGTTGCTTCCACCTTCTGTGTAATACTTCGTGTCCTACTGCTCAGTGCACACGCGCTGATTACCGGTATCGACTGGCTGGACTTTTTCCTCAATGATTCAGCCGACTATTATCTGCAGTGTGCCCGCTACAAATATAACCCGGTCCTGTTTTTCATGATCACCACCTTCTCGCAAATAACCTCCAGCATCGCGTTCCTCATTGTAGCCGTGTGGGTATTGTTCCGTCGTCAGCAGTGGACCATCTACCGAACACTACGAAGCGGGTTTCCTCGCCGGCACCTCGGGCGGACGCTGGCCACGACACTGCTCCCACCCGGCGTCCTGCTTATAGCGTATTGCGGACTGTGCATCCAGTCCATCGTGGCCAGTTTCTCTGACTGGTCCGTGATGCGCTATGCATTCTTCGATGTACCGAGCGTGCTGCTGGATGTGTGGGTGGTGGTGATGCAAGGCGTTAACGGCATAATCATCACCGGCACTTTCGCCTGCATGACGATCGTTTTTTGCAATTTTATCGGAGCCCTGAAGAGCTTATTAGAAGGATTGGAGGGTCTTTCAAAGCGCCTGTCACTAATGACCGTCACGGAACTGTTACCGCTGGTCCTCCGCTATGAAATGGATTTGGAGAAACTGGGAACTGTCCACAGAAAAATGGAGACGTGTGTCGGCTTGCCGGTACTGTTGATCTGCCTATCGACCGTGTATTCGCTGATCTCCACGGTGGCGGTCATGATGCTGGATATGGATAGCTTTAAAGATTCCTGCTTCGCCGCGACATTTGGCGCTCATAATCTGCTGCACGTGTACATGGTGCTGGTTGCGATCGTTCTGGTCGACAGAGCGACTAAAACGGTATGTGCTGTTACGAGAGTGACCTTTTCTAACGGCGAATGGAGCCAAAATCCCCGTAACTGTCTCTTTAATCACTTGGCTTGTTTGTTTGGCAGAACGACAACATTGTGAAGATATCCCGTCGATTGTTGGCCGACTGCATCCGCATGCACCAGGAGGACGTCTACATACCATCCCAGCCAAGCGATAATGGGTGCGCGATTACGGAGAGGGTAATGCAATCATCATACTTAAAAAGTGCGGGCGAAACGCCATCTGAGATGGCGTTACGTTGGCTTTTTAAGTAAAAAGATACAGTAAATGTATATGACAAAGAACTATGCTTGAGCATATGCTGTATGCTACCGCGCTGGTACATCTCCGTTTATCAGTTTCATCTGGGAACTTTGACAGGCACCATACCCGACAACTGGCTGTAGCGTAATGTCGCGCAAGGGCCGGGTTGCGGCCATGCGAAGGGTGGTTGCGGCTGCAAAGAGTCACTGTCAGGGCGAGTTTTACGCCTTCCGAATGGTGACAGTACGACGCGCCGTCATCTTCACGGTACGTGCAAATCTGTATAACCATAAACTAAACTGAGCGCACCGAGTTCCGATTGTGGCAAAGAACGATTTTACCCTTGAAGTTTTGATCACCCCGAATCATCGAAGCGGTCCGACGCCAATAATTGTTACATCATTGCTGCGTGATACCTTTCATAAGCTCTTAGATAATGGCGGCCGTTGCAGATTGCTGGATTGGTAGTGATGACAGCTTTCTTCTTCTGGGATCGCCGCGAAGGATACACGGGCGGCGGTGACTGTCCCGGGTTCTTCGGCAATCGGACAGCAACCCAGTCTAACAGCTCGGTAGTCACGAATTAGTTTATATGAAAATCAACTTTACATTTTTAAATTCTCACAATTCTGTCTACTGTGTATACAGCTTTTAAATTCTCACAATACTGCAGTGTTGCACATTCGGGAAACGCTTAAGTAATCCAGCATTCTACATGGCACCGCACAGGCGTGTACATACGAATATGCCACGCACAACAATATTATGATGTTCCTTCCAAAGCACAATAAATTTTACCTAACCCGGCATCACAGAAACTTTTCTTGACGCCAATACGCAATCTGATGGTTATACAAAGTGTTAATAATCAAACTGGGAATAAGTAAAGCTTATTTGGCGCTTTGTATGTGCGCAATATGCAATTTATACTTGCCAACTGGACTCACACTTAGGTGCATATTATTGTCGAATTTACGCAGTTGCACGACCGAAAAGAAGCCGGAAAATGTACGAGTATATGAGAGGTGGAAGCGGACAGACGAATGTGGATACTAATACGTAAACAGATTCAAGTCTAATTTAACTGATTATTTCTAGACAGGCTTTTATTAAGAGCTACGGCCAGGATATTTACATCAGTGACTGCAAAAATCTTCTTAAACGTTAGACAGTTCAACGGAGACCGATAAAAATGGCGAAACGACGCAAACTAGCAGTTACTTCTGATCCAACTCCAAGACACAAGTACCCGGTTTGATTTAACCATAGAAGTATAGCGGATTTGTAGAGTAGTAGTTGCAAGCATGCATGGTGATTTGACGGGAGGATTTAGCTTTCACCATACCGACTATCGGGATCGTCACGGCCGCGGGTCGCGGTATGCTGTTTATTCTTCACATTGCTGTACTCCTTGACTTCGTCCTTATCTTTGGGACCACTCATGCCGCTCTCCGCCTTCCCATTGCCTTTTCCACTGGAGCCGTTGTCGTAGCCATGAGCTTCTGCAAAATATAAAGTGGTACTTCGAATTTAAACCCATCCAGTTTTTTTAAAGGAGTGCTTGTTCAAGCAGATACCACCAGGAACTGCGAAAGAGCGTGGCTATATGGTTGTACGCTACCTGGATGTTTGCCACGATGGTCAGGGTGCTTCCGGTGGCTTCTCGCGTCAGCTGGCATCAACCACTACGTATAATAAAAAACAAGCACGCTACAAAACGGTCACATCGATTACTGAAGCTTTTAAAGCTTACCATGCAGGAAACCAGGAGACCAATGGTCAAAATCGTAATAGTTGTTGAATTCATGACGAAACTAGTTATGGCGAAAACTCTACGTCAAATTGTAGTACTGTACATGTACAATATTTTTGAAGGATGATGCCAATCACATGAGATTGCGAAGCTTATATACCTTTCCAAGCAGCCGAGAATAAGCGTTCCGGTCCACGAATATGCACGATTGGCTAAAAAGCAGTGTACTGGTGCCATCGTTTCTGAGCGATACGATGCAATTTTTAGCCGTATTCTTGTGTCTGCATTCCTGAAAGCCGATTATAATTCTGCTTTCGGGATAGCCACTCCAAAACAAACGTACCCGTTATTGGAAATGATTTCGATGGTTCTGGATATTTCGGAGTTTTCAGCTTGCGTCGACGCAATTTTTTTAGTCAGCTGGTGCCGGTTTCAAGTGGGTTTTACGGAGTACGATAGATGGCACCGGTTGGCCCACTTCATTTATAAAGATTTCGTGCGGCGTCATCAGCTCAATGTGTGGCAACACTTTACGGTTTATATCGTTCGTAATAATATGATGTACAAGCTTGTCCCGTGATTTCTATCGTGAAGGTATAGATAGCCCGGATTTAGCGCGAAAATTGCGCTACGAGCGCCTGCAACTACATTACGACTATTACAATGACAAATTCACTATTCTCAAGAATGAGGATAATTATAAAGGAGAAAAGCTTACTTTTTAAAATTTACTTAATTTACGCCGAAAACTCATAATTTAGATCGACATTTGGCATGTACCGGCGATGCCAAAAGCATGTACGTAGAACGCAAATAACGTGGCGTGAAGCGCCTGATATATGGAGTACGACATTTGGCGTAAACCGTGAATTTGTATTTGTCGCTGTGTTAATGTGAAAGAAATTACGGTACAAGATGGTAATGCATAAATACTGCATACTGTATGTGCATATCAGTGCTGTATGTTCATTAAGTATTTGGCTAGTTAACTCAGTTACGCTGCCTTTATAAATGACTGGTCTGCTTACGATGGCGGGCCGGTGGCGTTCTTTTTCTGGCACCGCCGGGAAGATAATTCGGGAGACACCGGCTGTCCCGGGCTATTCGACAACCGGACCATGATGCAGCCGAACAGCAGTGACTTTAATTAACGTCCAGCTTTACTTTCCTATGCTTCCTTTCTGGCACCACTATGGCACTCCTTTTCTGCACTTTTAAGAAAGAAATTCACAACTTTCAGCAAGCACGATTATTATTTAGCTTGATAATATTATGGTCTTCGTTGACTTACCCGGTTTCATCGGTAAGCAAAGTGGCAGAAAACGTTTTTTTTTTAATTTTTGTCGAATCCGTAAAAGTTAAAACGCAGAATTAGTTAATGGATGCGGCAACCAAGTAAACTTTGCAAAAGATAAAGAGCGTCGTTTGGTTTTATAAGATGCTCGTCACCGTGATTGTTACGATGATATGGCTGTTTGGCCTGGAAAAGCTCATGACTATATTAAATTAATAATCTTGCGAATATTAGATGAAGGATTTGCAAATGACCCTCAGGTACAAGAATATGAACCGTGAAGTATCAGTTAAGAACGGGAAATCGATCGATTCTGCGTGCCTACCGCCGATAACGGTGGGCGCAACTGTTGTACTCGAAATTAATTACTTTGTCGGTCGTTTGGAACGATGGCTGGAAAGCTCCGTTGAAAATGCGACGAAAGCCTTAGTTTCTATTGAAGTCAACGGAGAGGACATCGCTGCCGCTGTGCCACACAACGGTTTCTTGATGGTTGACATTTGACGATGTTAAACTAGCACGAGCTCAGCTATCCCTCTTTGCCTAATTAAACTTTCCCATCTCGCTCATTCACTTCAGTCAAAAGATGTTATTGTGATTAAATCCCTTTTCCAGTTTCAGTTTTTGTGTGACTAGTGCAAGCACAAAATCCACTGTGTGTTTCATCCAGACGATCATCCATGGATGAAGTGCCACCAGCAGGTAATATGGAAAGACCACCGCTTCCACCGGGAAAAGCGATGTCGGCTTGTAACAACGACAGGATGTGCAGTAAATGCGATGATAACATCAATAATGCAATCGTCGCATTTATAGCATTTCCCGTCATGCCATACTATAAAGAAGGTCACAGCGAAACATCAGCGGACTGAATTTTTGGATCGGATCCGCTGCAGCATTATCGGTAAACAACTCCTGCAGCCGCTTTAATGCGAAAGTCTTGAATGTTGTTCTACAGAGTACTATCAGCGCTTTGGAAACTGGTTTACACGAAAATTACTCCTCGTGACCGCAGTGCCGGATTGTCAATGCCACCGAGGCCGGGAAACACCAGGAATTAGTGGAGTATTAGTAAAACTAAACAGCTGAACGAAAAGTGTGTAAGTGGTACCAGCAAAATCTCAGTTATCAGATTTAATCAAGTATAACCGATCTTATCAATTGTCATTAGAGTAACTATTAAAATTCAATAACTTTGGCCCATGTAATTGTAATTGATCATTGTTGTATTTTCTGACATTTCTATTAAACAGGTTGTGCCCCCTTGGAAGCCGGCAGAGAAGCGAATGGGTCGATACAGCCATCCTACAGGTACATTTTCTGGAAACCGTTACAACATGTTTACGGTGTATGGAATCGGAGCAGAGAGTGTGGGTGGCATCTGATGAGAGTGCGTGCTGATGAAGATGTTTTCAATAATATCACTTTCGGTAAAAGAACATACTGCAGGTTTCTACGCTGCAGCAAGCAAGGACACGGTCACGGGACTGCATCTCTGTAGACCGATTATGCCTGTCGTGAAGGGACACTGTTTACTTGCACAGCAGACGCTGATCGCTCTGTAGTTCCGTTTGACATCAACTCAGTTAAGTATGTAAAAATCTAAAAAACTTTAAGGAACAAAATCAAACTAAAGCAAAAAAAAAGAAAACCAGAAAACAGAAACAGTACCAGAAACCAGAAACTTGGAAAACATAAAAAAAAAAACTTTAGAAACTAAGCGTGTGGAAATCTTTTGCGGCGAGTTGTCTTGTGCTTCGAGAGCATTTGGATTGTGCCACATTTAGCCGCAATGTCAGGCGGCAGAATGTTGCACAGTGAAAACGCTCTAAGCAGTATGGTCCCAAACCGATGTGTCCCAACGTCCAACGGCGATACCGTATCCGTCTGCTGACATCTAATTGGTTTTTAACGTCTTCCCAAGTTTCCTCAGGTTTGCGTAGAAATTCCTTATGTGCTTAATTTTGCTTTGTCTTAATTTTCTTGATAGCTTCCTTATCTATTTATCATATCTCCGATTCTTATTCTTCTACGATGCAGTTTTTTTCTGCTTTTCTTTCCAGGTTTGCGGAATGGATTACCGTAAAGCTTTATGAGTCAATGATTGTGAATTCTGGTTGCAGGGGCTTTATTGCACCGTATTAATCCAGTGTTATTGAATCGCTGATTGCATCTGTCTTTTGCTGGAAAACGTAAGCTACGCTGATTAATAAAAGGTGCGAGTATAATCAGTACGGCAACTAAAAGCTTGAAGTATCTTTGATAGTGTTTGGGGATTCCATTTGCAAGTGTATTTTATGCGATGTACGCTTACCCAGTAGTGGTATATAATATTATTACTGTAATTACAGTGCATAATGTTTTGTACGAGTACAGTACGAGTACGAGTACGAGTACGTCAATAGGGAAAGAAATACAGTACAGTACATTAAGTCTTCTTTGACTAATGACTGTTGACTGTTAATAAGCATTAGCATACTTATACTTACTGTGCACAAAGCCACTAATGGCCACATTACCGTAATACGTCTTCAATTTTCTCGTTTATTTCCAGACTTCCAGTACGTATTCTTTGTACGTCGTGCATAACTGCCCGGCAACTGTACAGTCACATAAAGAAGTGTTCTCACCCAGCAACGCAGTCACTCATCAATTTGACACTGCCACAAATTGCTGTTTACTTTTGACCTTTGATTTTCTACCTGTAAAACGATGGCTGCCTTGCATGTAAGCGTCCTGGTCGTCCTACTGGCTCTAGCCAGCGTGCAGGCCTTCTACCGCCCGATCCGTCCCATCGTCTTCGAGCAGCCGCAGGAGCAGTACGCCTACGCCATGGATATGAACTACGCACGCCAGATGCCCCAGCCAGCCTACGACGACGCGGGCTATGGATATTATGAAGCGGTGCAGCGCGGACGACGGGCGCCGTACAGTGGAACGCATCCGCCATTCCGCGGCTAAGTGACGAGCTCTTGCTGGCTGTGTTGGTTGTTGTTGATAAATTCATTTCTCTCGATGGTGGCGTCGGATAATGGGGATCGCTGTTTCCCGTGTATAATGCTCGCAATGATTGTGCCTCGCCCCGTTTTCTTTTCATGGAAACTCCCCATGTTAAGTACTCATTTCTGCGTAGTTGAATGCGAAAAAAAAGATCGAAAACCCTTCGAAAATTATCGCGATATTTTATTACTTGAAGCTTCGTGAAACCTATATAAACAGTGTTCTTAAAACGTGTATAAGTGAAGTATATATGTTCTTAAAACGTGTTTAAGTGAAGTTTTGAAATAAAAACGCGTGAAACTATAAACAGTGACATCGCAGTATGAAAAAGAATCGTCATAAGAAAGAAATAAATTTTTTAGATAGTTCAGCAGGTCGTCCGTAGTCATCCGTCGTCCGTACGCGTTGAAGTTTTGAAAAAAATACTCGCAGCGCGTTTTATTAACGATGCGGAAACAGCTTCCTTTACAGAAACAGCTTTATCAGGCTGCTCCAGTTCTTATCGGTGAGTGGCGCATCAATAAGCAAAACTAATCACGGTGACTAAACTGATAAGTAACTGAACATTAATAACTTCACCAAGCGCATTAAATATGCACCATGAACTTGATCACTATTCCTACTTATTCAATAATAATTATGATATCATGGTAGGTCTCCATCTGTCGGTATCTGCCATCGGTACTACAGATACGATATGAGTATACGCTACGCAATCTGTCCCTTCAAAATCAGCCTAAGATCTTCAGCACACCATTTGTGCTGAATATTTGGTAATTAATTTTAATGTATTTACTCCGCGAATTAATGTGCGTAACTGAGGATCAACGTAACGAAGATTTTTTCGCAGAACTGAGTATAACACAGCAGTACGAGCATATACAAAATTTATCCCTACCTTGACATCTGACCGACGAGTTATTACGCGCTGTTCTTCTACGAGAACAACGCGCCGCTTAGTAACTAGACTTGCGTGACTGTGGCCCATGGCTCCTGATCCGCGAGATCCCTCGCCGCTTATTGCTGCGGGATTTATCCAGTTTGGATGTGCTTTGTCAATGATGATTCTCAGCGGACTTTGTAAGTTACAACTGGCGGAAAATTCTAGCATATACTACAAAATTTCCCGCAGCTATTTTACATGTGAAAGATGTGATTCGTTTTTACCTTGAACAGAAATTTTTTCAACATTATTTTCCTTGTATCCGTTGACTAACAAAATTTCTTTCTACAAAATTTTTTTCTGACAACCTATAATACTGTACTGCAGCCTTTCGACGGAAGGAAATCCAGCAAGTGTTTTTCTTTTTTCTCTGCCGCAAAGAATTATTTCAGGAAAAGGTATTTTCAGATTTTCCGCCACAGTCAATGTTTCTCGGCTTTTGCAACTGCAATACGGTTTTATTATAGCAAAGGCCAAAATAGTCTTCGGTGTGCACTTTTTTATTAATTAATCGTTTTTCAATCTCAATAATGCAACGCGATCGTTTTTATTAATCGTACACGCTTATTTGTTATTGTTGTGGTACGCCTTAATTTATTGACTGGATTCAAATACAGCTTAAATCAAACCGTTGCCTAATTCGGCGCTTGTGTACGGCAGCTCTCTACTGGTTCGGCTTCGACCTCGTCTTCCTCCTCGCGCTGATCCTGGGCATCTACACCGTGGTCACCGCCGTCTTCACCATCGCCGCCGGCTTCTTCGTGCACCGCAACTGGAGCAAGGTCATCTGCTGTCGCTTCGTCAAACGCTCGGTGTTCTCCACCGGCAGCTGTTCCATCTTTGCCGGACTTCTCAGCGCCTACATCTTCCTCATCCTCTGCGACACCCAACCCACGGAGATCCCGCGGACCCCCGCGGAACAGGCGATATATAGCGAGAGCATCGCACTACTCTCCACACTCGTGGTCATCGTGCAGTTGCTGATTGTGACGAATATCGCGCTGGTGATCGCGGCGGTACGGACGTACTGGGTGTTGAGCACGGTGATCACGCAGACGCTGGCCAGTTATCTAGCGCGGATGGTCCCGCCCGGGAAGGAAGGGGAAGCGTTGGGGGCGGAGGCGAATTTCGTGGCGGATTTCATTTGGACCAATGTTTGATTCTAGTGTGCTCTGTACAGATGGTTTCTTGCCTCGATAAAGGGATCGGCTTCGTGGAGAGTTTGTTTTATTTTTTAAAGCAAAATTATGGATTCGGATGCGGAAGCGTAGTCATGCGATTTCTCTGCAACTTTATTAATGTACAACTCGTTTCAAATTTGAAAACATGCTATAATAGTGGAGCGGTGTAAAAACGTTCTTCATGGATATGTGCATTTACGTGCAAAATTTGAGGGAGATCGGTCTATAATGAGACTTTTGGTACACCTGAACGCATTTAAACTTTTCGGAATTTTCTAACAGCCATAACTCCCGAACCGGATGTTGCGCGCACAAACGGTTTTCACGCCAGTGTATACAAATCATCTGGCTACAAAACGTCATAAACCGAAACAAAAATGTATGTGGGAGTGCGCGAAAGTGTAGGTTTTCGTGCATGTACACGAATCTGGCACCATGTACTGGCCCACATCCCTTAACCACACCTTCATAATTTTTGTTTCGGCAGGCGTCGGTAGTGGTAAGAATAACCTAAGCAAATCCAAGAAAACCAAAGAAATTATAAGAAACTCAACCTTTGAAAAGTTAAGAAACCTGAAGTCTTAGAAAGACATGGTGTAAGTCCTTAACTGGTATCTCCATGTGTGCCGATCGGAATCGGGTGGTAGGTCACCCAAAATGCCATGATTATGATTTGCCAAAGACGAAGAAAATCGTGTACAACGACTCACTTCACTGAATCCTTTAACGGAAAATATCGAACTCAATAAGAAGCATGTTTGCGAGTTGTGACCAAAGGGTGCACTTTGCTGGCTCGCCTGGCTGGACGTACAGCGCGAGCGTTATGTTGTTGCCGCTAATGATGGTCGCACTTGAAGTGCCGGTGCTGCCGACGTGTACTGTTGTCCATGGGCAAACTCAAGTGTTTCCCCGGCTAATCAGCGGAAATGGAATATCAACAATGCGCGCGCGCTCTGTCTCAAGTGTAACTAAACGGCCATCCTTCTTGTCATGTCCAAACAAGAACATATGTCAGTTGGAGCGTCAGCCGGCGTTTTATGCCGCAACGTTGGATATGCGTCTTCGTCGAGCGTCACTTGATCGCGCTGCGTCTTTGACAGGGGATACTGACGCTTAATGAAGTTTGATAAAGTTTGATGAATTGTTTATTCATTGCGGTTTCAGTTAAAAAATGACAGAAAAAATCTGCTATCAATTCGCCAAGAAACGCCGGTTTCATAAACCTTTCTGTGATGGATAATTATGTATATTGGGAAAGTTATTGAAGACCTACTAACGAGTGACAATCTGGGAGTTGTATACTTTAGGAGTTGTAATCAGAATAAAAGTTAATTGTCAGAGTAACTTTTGTTTTGATTTAAGTAACATCTTACAGAAATAAGTAAAACTGTACATGAATTTATTTACAACATTGTTTTCATTTTAGTCTCCACCACTTTATATAGCTTCATTTATTTATTTTGCTACTTTAATCAAATTCGGCTGGTATTAACTTTACAAACTTGTGGATCTAGGTACGAATTTAGGTATTTTAAAAAATTAAACAACGTTTTTCGAAAATTATATTTAACTATTTTAATAAACAACTTGGAAGCCTTTTAACTATAATAAGTACAATTACTTGATCTTAACTATAACAAACTGAAAATTATTATTTAGCATTATAATTATTTTAGAAAGTATTGTAGAAAATTTGAAATTTTATTAGCACTTCGCTTTAAATTTGAATAAATTACAAAGCTAAAATAACATGGAAAAAATGCAAGTTTGTGAAAAATATGTAGCATGAAATTCTGCGCAAAGGAAGCGCTTTTGTGTAAAAATTGAATGATATCAAAGAAGAAAAAGACGCAATTAGGAAAGCGCTCAAAGGGTAAAAATGCGCATCGACGTGCCCAATCTCAACGGGCCACAACCGGTGATTACCGCCGGGAAATGGCAGCTTATTGTATCCAGTTGTGCCGGCGTAATGGTGTTGACACGCCGTGCGCGGTGGCGATCAATAGCCGCGTACCAATATCCCATTGAAACCGTTTGTATGTCCTCCATAGATGTATTCGCCCGACAGCAAACGTTTTATGCTAATTTGATTACGTATATTGCCGCGGCCATGGACAAATGCCACGATACGCACCGGTTATCGTATTTGCCAACAAATACTCAAAGTAAACCCGATCAGAATAATTCAACCGGCGATCGATAGACATTTCTCTGTACACAGAAATTAAGCGGGCTGCATTGTTTCAGCGTCACAATAAATTAAACCAAAACCAAATAAATTAAATTATATTAAATACAGTTATTTAAAATTACCAAAATAAAATAAAGAATTAAAATAAATAAATTAAAAATTAAATGTAATAAATAATTAAAATTTTTTAATTAAATTAAATGTAAATAAATTGGCGTACTTATTGCTTTTGTTATTTATTATTTTTTAAAATTAAAGAAATAATCTCCGGAAGGGTTACTGCTTTTTCGTTGTGGTGGGCGGGGCGGGGGTTCCGTTGGAGGGGGCCGGGGGCGCCGACTGCGGTTCCTTCTTGTAGACGCTGGCCGGATCGAAGGGCGGTCCGTGCAGCGTCCAGGTGTACTCTAGAACGTTGTTGGCGTCGTGCCGCATACTGACGCAGGCGGACGCCATACACACCACCCGGTAGCCGATCACCTTAAAAAATAAGTGTAAATATACTGCATTCGAATTTTGATAACAGGTATCATTTAGTTAACCAGAACCAGTTTTATGCCAGTACTTTTGTCTCTGTCCTCACTTACAGTATTTTATTCATTTACGTGTATTCATTTCTTTTTGTCAGTATTTATTATTATTATTTTAATATTATTAATTATCGCTATTTATTATTTGTATTTATTGTTTTCTCGCATTGTTTTATTGCTACTAGGAAAAATGCACGTTGGCGTGCATTTGGCAGACCGGAGCGCAGCATTTCCTTTGAGTATAGCATGTATAATACTGTACACTTTAATACAGTAATTTATTACAAACTTAATTATTATTTTGATCTGTCAGAGTACTTTACTATATGTATATATGTGGAATAATAAAATTTAATATTATTTTGCAAAACGACTTAGCAACATAACGACTTACTCTTTGGAAATGGCTCGTAACAACCTTTCGTAACAACCTTTCGTAACGACCTTTCGTAACGGACAGAAATCAACGAAAGTATTTCTCTTGAAATAGAGGACCTTCGCTACGCTCCGGTCGATCATGATGGCTATTTTTAATAGTTAGAAGGGCACAGAATTAATACTGGGTTAACAGCAATGCAACACGATAAAAATTTATCTTAGATGTTTTACGGTTAAGCTTCTTTTCGTTACCTTGAATTTGCTTGATTATAGCGCTCAGTTTTGCATTTTTTTAATTAAATAATTGTAATTATTTCTATTATTCCTTATTTAAATTGATGGCTATTTTTAATAGTTAGAAGGGCACAGAATTAATACTGGGTTAACAGCAATGCAACACGATAAAAATTTATCTTAGATGTTTTACGGTTAAGCTTCTTTTCGTTACCTTGAATTTGCTTGATTATAGCGCTCAGTTTTGCATTTTTTTAATTAAATAATTGTAATTATTTCTATTATTCCTTATTTAAATTTCTAGTATTCCTTAATTATTTCTATTATTCCTTATTTAAATTTCTATTATTCCTTAATTATTTCTATTATTCCTTATTAGCGTTACGATATTTATCGCGATTACTATGATACGTACATGATTTGCTAATGCTGGTACATCTAAACTTTTGCTGACTCAATATGAATATAATATTTTTTATGCACCGGGTACAAAGTGCAAATGTATAATAATTTATTCATCGAAGTTATTTTTCGGTAATTTTATATTTTTTGGACTTTTAGTGAATCTTTTGCAGAATATCAGGGATTTTACTCGGCTCGGCTCAGGAAGCCAAATTATGATTTTATACTTTTCCAGCAGTTATAAAAAGAAAATTATTACCTCGAGCCTGTCCAAGACTTCGCGCGGTCCACTATTAACGAAATAGAAAGCATAGCGCTGATAATTCTCCGTTTTATAATCTATCCTGGCGTCCAGATAAATCATCAGCGCGCGATTGGAGCTGGCATTGCCGACGACGGTGTACTGGGCGCTGGACCAGTCCGCCAGTGACTGACAGCTGATCACCAGGTACGGCATGATGATGCCGGATTAATTAGCCAGCCAACCAGCGATGCAGATTCCGTAAAATGTCTGTCACAATTCGAGCGACCGCTTGTAAAAAAACTGCGGTTCAAAAACGTCGGCTCGTTCGCAATTTACGATAAAACGTGCATCCAAATAAAAATAACCTCCTCCGCTCGCTTTGCTCGTTAGCTGGGCAAAACCGGCAGATTTCTAAAACGCTGTTCAAGGGAAAAAATTAAGCAGAAAACCATAAATTAATTTGCGAAGCAATGCGTGCAAATTGTTGTAAAGTAATCAATACGGAATTAAGTCTGGATTAATCGTCGATATCGACAGTATCGATTGCTGTAATATAATCACAGACTCAGGCGCAATAAAGACACCAACGCGTGATTAACAAAACGCGCTATCAATGCCGAAATAAGCACCACTCAATTAGGAAGTGAATTACCATCAAGTAGCCGCTTAATCCAGCCGCTCATTTAGCACAAAATCAATCCATGATAGAAGACAGCACAACGGCATAAATATCCTTCTACACGTGCAGCAGAAACAGCAGCAGCGGAAACAGCGTTTTCAGCGGCGGGCTTTTGTTGCTCTCCGAACCGGTGCACGGTTCACTGCACGTCGACAGTCGATTGCCGGGGAAGTCTGTCAAGTGAACCGGGGAATACAACGGGCGCTGCTCATTATCCCGGCGATCGATCCGCGGCCCGGCAGATTGATAGGGCGCTACGCACACAGGACGTACAACACACTGGATCGAGCATAGAAAAACAATCGTCGCGCATTGCTTACACTCAACTGACCAGCGCCTGGTGGCGCCTTCACACTCGCTCATTTCCTGCCGCTGTTTGATTAAAAACCAACGTTGAAGCTGAAGCACTGGCGGAAAGCCGGGAAACTGATTAAATGCCGGCAATTTGTACCGCAATTTTCTTCACGCTGGATTCCAATGGGTTATGACGGTTTTCTCGCCTGGAAAAATGTGCCGTGCATGCGTCACGCAGGGGCTGTATTGTTCCGGGTTGTATGAGGAAAACTGCCGCGCTTTTCGACGAGGTTCTTTGATTACCGGGAAAAGTGCCCTGGATAGAACTGTCGCCGGGAATCGTCAAAACAGCATGTAATCGTAATGAGCACTTTACATCATTGGTAATGAAGGCTGCTGCGACAGGCTCCTTATGCTCGTTTCTTCACGTTTCACGGAACCGATGCCGGCTAATCGATAACGTTGAATCACGCTGAACCGACAGTCGCTACAGCTCCGCTCTTCGCTAAAACAGGGAAGAGAAGTTCCACAGCGCGGCTGCCGCATTAGCGCTGTACGCGTAAATTCTTCGTTTTAAAGCGTACTGCGCAAGCCGGCGCTTCTCTGTTCGAACCACGCGCAAGGGACGCTGTTCCTTTTGCGTATGCCATTTGATAATTTTATTTAACATTAAATTTTCGAACCACCAACCGATTCAAATAACCGCACAAACCAAGGATGAAAGCGTTCACGATGAATTTTTCTTTACTGCCACACTGAGCGGTTGCCCTAGCAGTTTTGGCCTGACGCTCTTAGAATTTCCTCATTGGAAGTTTTCAGCTGAGAGTGTCTGGCATCTTAATTAACTGGGTTTCCAGAGGAGCACAAGTTGCGTTAAGGGAAGTCGCTCAGAAGTGACCTTATGCGCCTTTCAAACAGTCGAAATAGTGCGAGTATTAAGCTGATGTCTTGATCACCGTGCAAGATGTTTTGGTTATTTAGTAATCTGGCAACTATAATTCTGACGCATATCGTGAGGTGTGAGGAGTGTTCTGCAATCCACAATGTAAGAAGATAAAAGAGAAATCATCCTTACCGATGAGAAGGCGGTTTAAAGTAGAAGCTATGACTGTATGCTGTTAGCAGAAAAGCGTTGGTCCTTGGTTTGATGGAAGAACGCTCGATTCCTACCTGGATTCATACCACAATTTTAAGCAGATTCATGGTGGCAATCAAGGCAGGAAGAATACTTCCTACTTCTTTCTTCGTACCATCCAAAAATTCTGTTAAATCGAAGACCTGGTCTCCTGTGCGACTTCCGCGTTCTCCACGTGCGCCGCATTTCTGAGCGGCATCACCAGTTCCAAGAGGTTCCTTAATCCCTTCGTTTCGGGAACTCCCTAGACCCTGATAATGGGGTTCAGTTCAGACGGGCTCGCGACCGATTCTATCTGATTTGACCAGCGCCTACAACTGCTGAAGAGCCTTCTCGCTCCGGAGTTCGATAAATCATTGTTCTAAATCAAATCTTCTAATAAACTCTAAGACTCATAAGAGAAGTGCGCCGGCTCAAACTACCGGTTCGAATCGTGATGAGATGGTTTTTCAGCTGATTTTTACACGCTTGCAGAGAGACGGATCGGTCGACATACGATTCACTTCCGCTAATAGTTATTCGTACCTTATTATCCAGCTTGATTACACAGATACGGCCAACCGTTCTTACTCTCCGGCGCCTATTCGATACAGCTTACGCGCGATTTACGGCATAATACCGCATCCGCTGTACGCAGGATGTACAGTAGGTGCTTTATCGATCCATTCCGGTTACCACGAGGTGCCCTGCCGGCATCAACCGTGATTTAACAAGAACGGCGATCTTTATTCGCACCAGACGACTGCTCATAATAATGTTTTCGAATTATTACGGTTTTCCATTTCTTTGGCGATGAACACAAACAGTCTCTTCTGTCGTCCCGGTATACAGTCCACATGGAGCGATGTTTTTATTATTTTCATTATCGCCTATGCCTCACGCCTATCGCTTGCTATCGCTTGCCCAGTTACCAGATGGCTGAATCGGGAAGAAGGTGAGTAGTGCTGTATACACAAAGTTAATACGTTATTATAAGTACTGTAACCAGGTGACACCGTATTACGACTTAGTAACTTCAACTGGCTAGAAAACAGCATTCAAAATGTAAGGTAACACCGTAACAATTGAACACGCTTAAGCAGTGCACTGTACCACTGGTGCGGATTCGTTACAACACAACACCCAACCCGTCACTTCTTATCACTTAGTAACCAGTTAGTAGATGTGGAAAGTACTCAGTACTTGTTCAACTTGTACATTAGCGATGTATCGAAAAATAACAGCATCTGCTCTGTGTAGGTACACTGTAACCCCACTCGTTGGTTAGTTGGTTAGCAGGCACCGAGACCGAATCCTTTTGGAAATTTTCGGAAGTTGGTGTTACGATAGTATGATTTTCTACGAATAATATGTCCTTAAGGGGATCACTAGCAGTAGAAAGCGGGTTTGGGAAAACGGGAATGGTTTGAAAACGATGGCCAGATATGTGTTTTCACAACTTTGACTGAACGCAGAGAGGATTTAGCTACACAGTGACGTGACGCGATTCTCTCTGGCCTCTGTCTAAACCGAGCTATTCATCAAACAAAGAAAAAACTTTGAAACCAAAGGTTGAATGAGAAAGTTTCTTTGTTTATGATGCAATGCACATCGTTGTGTGTGTTTTCTTCTAGAAAGCTTATATACCGAAACATGTAAAAGAAAAGTGTTCAAAATGTTTCAAATAAAACGCAAAAAACACTTTTCGAAAAGTGTTTTTTGCAGTTATTTGGATTTCTATGTGTTGTGCAACACTGGAGTTTTGGTATATAAGCTTTCTAAAAGAAAAAACGCACAACGATGTATGTTAGACCATAAACGAAGAAACTTTCTCATTCAACTTTTGGTTTCAAAGTTTTTTCATTGTTTGATGAATAGCTCAGTCTAGACACAGGCCAGAGAGAATCGCGCCACACCATTGTGTAGCTAAATCCTCTCTGCGTTCAGTCAAAGTTATGAAAACACATACCTGGCCATCGTTTTCAAATCATTCCCGTTTTCCCAAACCCGCTTTCTACTGCTAGTGATCCCCTTAAGCAGAAGCGACATAACAGTTCCACAATGCTAGTTGACATGAATGACGTACATACAAGTTCACATCTATGCGCTCTCAATCTTTGCATTCTGTTCTGCATATAAGCCGGCTACTCTATCATCAGAGTATGACGTATTTTTTTACTCGTATTAATGTAGTACTTGAATATTGTTCACATTGCGCATTACACAAGTAGCAAGAAGAAAAATCCTTGTATCACTTTACGGTATCAATATGCAACCTAACGACGGAGCAATGCATGGCTAATAAACGCTAACGCAAACCAACATGTATCCTCAATGCCCTTATTTACAGTACTGGAGCTATTAGCCGCTGCACTGTCGAGAAACCCGGGCGGACCGCTTCACCTGGGCCATCTGACCAGCGCCTCCTGGTCTCCGATGGACCCAGAGCACAATACCATACTGATCCAGGCAACGGAAGGAGCGCCGGTTGCATTTGATTGCCATGACAACCGTACCACGCAGCGGGAAAACAGCTACCTGGCAGTGCGACATAACGGCGTTGATCACACTTAAGCCAGTAGCCTGCGGAACGACTCCGCCGCCCCTGCTACCGGCCACGCTTGCGGCTGCACCAACACTACGCTGCCGCCCATCGGCTTCCGGGTCAACGAGCACAACTCCACCTACGCCAAAGTCATACTGAAGAACTTCACGCACGCCGGTACTGGTGAATACGCCTGCGTGTGGTACCACGGCACCGAGGCCTTCGTCTCTCAGCGGTATGTGGTTAGACGCGGTGTTCACCGCTCGTCAACTTTTCAGCCCGCCTATGCACAACATCACCGCCCGCATCGGGCAGCGTGTGGAGATGCGGTGTTATGTGAAGTTTGAGCGGATGATCGGCAGTCTGCACTCGCGGATGATATGGACGAATGAACACGAGATCCTGATGGCCCATGGCGCGCCCCGTATGCTGCACCTCGTGCGCTACCGGGCGGGTCTTATCTGGTGGCTGGAAGCCAAGGAGGGCGTGTGCTACGTGGGGCTGATTTTTCCGGCGGTCAGGCGGGAGGACCCCGGATGGTATCGCTGCTGGTTTAGGACGGATGATATGCTGGAGAAATGGCTGGTGCAGAGCGCGTATATCACGGTCACGGAGTAGAACAGCGTGCTGACGCGGCCAAGTACGATTCGCTAAGCCAAGTAATCACTTAAACGCACAAATAAAACTGCCACAGGATTCCTGTTTTCTCATTTTCATTAGTCTGTAAAACACCTTTTCCTGGATCCGTTATGGTTCTCAAGCGTTAGCATTGTTAGCCATTAAGTGTCGAATTAAAGTTCAGTACCGATCGGTCTGTGAGTCAGTGACCGACTTGTACGGAAGCCAAAGGGAGCATTAGTCTCAGTGCAATGCAGCCCAAGGGACTGGCGACCGAAGCGACTAATACCCAACTACTACAACATAATCTCCCGCTTTCGTGATAGGCAGTACATAGTTTACTTTGGCAAAAAGAATTAGCTCTATCCAGCATGTGGCTTGTCGTAATTGCTTGTACAGTATTGCTAATTTTTGTCGTTGCTAGGACAATTAATAACTTATACATACAACCCTGCCAGTGCAGTAAGCTGCTTAAAGGAATCAAAGATAATAAACCTTATCCTTCTGCTCCCAGCAGAAAGTCGAATATGAAGATTAGTATTTATTTTATCGTCGCCCGCGCTTTATGCTGCTGTATTATTGCTTGCTCCGTAAAGAGTGGGCTGCGTCGGTTTACGCGGAAAGAAAGTAAGTAGCACGGTTTGCCATGGCTTACGGTATCATAGTCCATACCATAAGCCTACACCAACACTACTATTGAGAATCCTAGTATACATATTATGGTATTTAGGTAATAAGATATCCAATTAATACATTCTGTAACCAGACAGCAAGCAGTAACCAGAGAGGTATACAGAGATACGGTCTCTAGATACCGAGGAGCGCGACAGTGCACCAATTGCGCTTCCGCTGATCCTGGAAAATACATGTCAGTTCTCTGAATCTCTGACCTTCGTTTTGCTGACCGACATACTGCGGAAATAACACAACCCACTCACTGACCGACATGTTATTGACCACCCACTTTTCTATAATTGCGCTTCCCGACCTTTTACAAAAGCTATTTCGTTGGTCGACAATTGGCTTATGAGCGCTTGTCAATCCGGTTGTTCTATGTCTCTTAGCTTTCGCGGTGTTTTTTCGGTTTTTTTCCCGCTCTTTTCTAAATTTTTTTGCTTTCTCACTGCGGTTTCACAGGTTTTTGTAGGATTGTTGTGTTATTTTTCAAATATTGTTATGATGCTTCACTGTTTTCTGATGTTTCCTTTAGTTTTCCATTTCTTTTTTTATGCCATCAAGAAAAAGATTTTCTTTTTTTATGCCATCAAACGTTCTTAAGCAAAATGTCGGTGTTCGGCAAGTTCAGGTCATTTAGTTGTTTTGCAGTGAATTGTTCGGGTAAACATTATGTCGGTCAGCATCACGTCTTCCCCAAATTGTCCTTCAGGAAGATGGTTTTCAGCAAATTGTCGGTGCGTTCAAAGATTCTCGACACAGCGAACGCGCAATTGAAGATGCCAAAATTCTCCTCTTCTGAAAATTTTTATCATTATAGTACAGGAGCGATTAGACGCTGCGATTTCTGGAAACCTGACCGGGACAGTATTCCTGGGCAACCTGACCAATCCTTCGCATCCGCCTGACCCACTTGCGAATTCCGTACTCATCAAGGCAGCTGAAGGAGCGCCGGTGACGTTCCCTTGCCACGACGACCGCGCAAATCGACCTAACGGCGACGGCCACAACCTGGTGGTGGGCTGGAAAGACATGGAGTTCACCAGAACGAGTCCTGTGGAACCGGCCCGCCCCGTTATCAGTTGCGGTTGCCGCAATTTCACCTCGCGGATCGTAGGATTCGATGTATTTGAGTACAATGATACATTCGTCAGTGTCAAGTTAAACGACTTCAGCCAGGCCAATACCGGGCGATACGAGTGCCGATGGTACGATGGCGCCGACGTCTTTGTCAGTCAGCGATATGTAGTTAGTGCTAAGTTCTCCGCGCGCCAACTCTTCACGCCGCCCATGCACAGTGTTTCAGCCAAGATCGGCGAGCGCGTGGAGCTGCGGTGTTACGTAAAGTTCGACAAGATGGCCGGCGATTTACCATCGCTGTTCATGTGGACGAACGAACGCGATTTTCTGATGGCCAGTTACGCCGAACATCTGCACCACGCCGTCCGCTATCGGAAAGGCATCATCTGGTGGATGGCGCCCGTGACGGGGGCTTGCTACATGGCGCTGATTATTCCGTCAATGACGCTGGATGACGCCGGCCGGTATCGCTGTTGGTTTAGAGTGGACGCCGTGCTGGAAGAGTGGCTGGTGCAGAGCGCGTACATCACCGTGACGGAGTAAACGTCGGACTAGGATACTTGTTTTTGCGATCTTGTTCTCTAATCACCGCCAACTTTTAGCCACTGCGCCGGCGTGTATCTTGTTATGTATTTTGGGAACCCTGACAAAAGATTGCGCGGTAGTGTTAACATCTCATTTTATCGGTAACCTAAAAAAAAGTTATTCTCCTCTCACAAGTCAGGTACCACGATCTACGATCAGGTACTACGACTACGATCTTCACACATCGCAACGTTCTAATTGCCTGTTCCGTCCTTCAGCCGATTCCGTGCTTTTAGCATCTGCGTTTCCGCATATGTGCTTGTTCACCGTTTAAATCGGCAACCTGTCAGAAGCTGCAAAAATGTACAAAGCAAAAAATAATTCTTCAAGTAACGAGCAGTTTTACGAAGTCATTGCAGCACTGCCATAATAAAATGCGCTGCGAAGTGCAACTTTCAGTAGGTACGTAAATCATCGATTCAAAAAACTACCTTGTCGTTAAACTGGATTGCTGTTCGGTTGGGAAACTTCCTGTGACAATCGCTGGCTCCTGTGTAGCCTTTGCGGCGATCGCAGAAGAAGAACGCCGCCGTCAGGCCCGACCAGCGATTTGTACCGGCGACTATTATAAGTTGGCGCAATGGCGTTCAAATGCGCAGACGCATTCGGGACGAGAGTTGCACACAGAGATGGGCGGCACGCGTGGAGATTCGGCCATCAGCTTCCATCTCCCGTTCTCGCCAAACCAACGAAGCATCTGCTTCCGTCTTAGGGACGCTATCGGAATCAGGTATCTAGGATCCGTATAGCGCAGACCACTATCTGAACATTCTTACGGAACGCAAGACAAACCATTTAGGTTCCGAAACTCGCCGTATGCAACAGGGCATTAAATATTCCTTCAGTACTGGAATAGGACGTCTGCTACATTCCACTGGTGACTCCTTACGGAATTATCCGGGAAATGTAACAGACGGACTGTACATTTCAGCTACCTGGTAATTCTTTCCATGCCGGAACCATCTGGAATTGGTGCAGGGACTTTAGCATATTCAACCAGCGGTGAAACGTGTTTTTCAGCTATATTGAACACAAAGCGATGCCGATGCCGAATGCGCCTACCTATCCCGTCCTAATCAGAAGGAAGGAGCTCCAGACGCCATGATTCTTCGTGTCCACATAAAATGGCACAGCTGCACCGGTTTTACTTGGTTCGCAAGGTTAATCTGTTTCCAGACAGGCAGAACAGTTACAGCAGAACATTATATAACATTATTGAAGAAAAACCAGCGATTGCTGTTGTTCGGTCCGATCAAATGCCGCAGTTTACCTCGGAAGAAACGGAATGGATCGATACCCGGCGCGGGCTGATGATATTGTGCTCGGCGTCCTGCACTGGGCTGGTACAAACACCAACGCTTTCGCTATAGTCATCGGTGACGGCCTGTTTTGCAACACGCCGATGTCACTCCGTAGCAGGATGGTAATATCAGGTGATATGGTAGCAGGATGGTTTTGTATACGTTGCCAATTTCAGCAGATTTACATCCAGAGATCCCTTTTGCCGGTGCATGTTCCTCCATGGCAATTGCCTGAATGGAAGTGACCCGGTTCTTGGGGCTAATGCCGCAGTGTACCACGCAAGAATAGGACTGCGTCGATACCCGGCGGATGGCTTGGTACTAACGGAGATTTTGCTGCCTAAACTATACGGCGGCGGATCGAAGATATTTTGAACGCAAATTGCGCTGATCTTGTTGTATTAAAAAGATATGTTCCATGTCGTTCCATATACAGTACAAGGAGACTCGGGTCCAGGACACTGCGCACATTGGCTTTCAACTTTCATTAAGTACGTGAATCATCGATTCAGAAAACTGCCTTATCGTTAGACTGGATCGCTGTTCGGTTGCGAAACTTCCTTGTGACAATTGGTGGCTCCTGTGTTGGCTTCGCGGCGATCCCAGAAAAACAATGCCGCCGTCATGACCTGATGATCAGCGACTTGTACCGGCAGATATTATAAGTTGACGCAAAGGCGTTCAAATGCGCAGGCGCATTCGGGACGAGAGGGTGTACACAGAGATGGATGTTCTGCCAACAGCTTCCATCTACCGTTCGCAAAGCGCCAAACCAACGAAGCGCCTGCTGCCATCTTAGGATCGCTGTCGGAATTATGTGTCTACGATCCGTATAAGCAGGATAAACCATTTAGGTTCCGAAGCTCATCGTATGCAACATGGCGTTAGTTATTCCTTCAGGATTGGAATAGGACGTCTGCTACATTCCACTGGTGCCTCCTTACGGAATTATCCGCGAAACGAAACAAGCGTCCTGTACTGATTTCAGCCAATAGATAATCGTTCTTTCGATGCTGGAACCACCTGGAATCAGAGCAGGGAATAAGTATATTCAACCAGCGGTGAAACGTGTTTTGTTAACTTTATCGAGACAAAGCGCTGCGGATGCCGAATGCACCGACCCGTCCCGTAACTAATCAGAGTGGGGGAGCTCCAGACGCCATGATTCTCCGTGTCCACATAAACTGGCACAACTACACTGGTTTCTCGTGGTTTGCATGGTTAATCTGTTTCAAGACAGCCAGACCAGTGAACATTATTACATTATTGAAGAAAAACCAGCGATTGCTGTGGTTCGGTCAGATGGAATGCCGCAGGGTACCTCGGAAGAAACGGAATGGATCGATACCCGGCGCGAACTGATGATATTGTGCTCGACGTCCTGCACACTGGGCTGGTACAAACACCAACGCTTTCGCTATAGTCATCGGTGACGGCGTGTTTTGCAACATGCCGGTGTCACTCCGTAGCAGGATGGTAATATCGGGTGATATGGTAGCAGTATGGTGTTGTATAGCAACTGCCTGCACCTAAGTGACCCGGTACTGAGTGCTAATGCTCCAGTGTACCACGCAAGAATAGGATCGGATCGATACCCGGCGGAGGGTTTGATACTCACGGAGATCTTGCTTCCTAAACTATACGGCGGCGGATCGCAGATATTTTGAACAAAAATTGCGCTGATCTTGTTGTATTAAAAAGATATGTACCATGTCGTTCCATATACAGTACAAGGAGACTCGGGTCCAGGACACTGCGCACATTGGCTTTGTTGGCTTGTGCACCGGTAATACGAACCATACCCAAGGGGGAAATTAGGCAATGAATGCAACAATGCCCGGTGTGCTCCTTAAGCCACGCGCGTTGACACATCTGTCAATGGTCTACAAGAGCGGAAAACTGTCTTCATCCAAATATTAAGCCTTTAATTTTGACGCAAGATCTGAGCTGTGATTGCCGGCGTTCGTACACTCTAGATGAATGTAAACCACATTAAGAATTACATAACACACGAGCCCTTGAACCGCTAATGCATGTGCAGAAATCATGATGACAGCGTTCTGTGCGGTTCGTCTGGTGCTACCAGTTGGGATTCGTCGGTCAGATTCGCCCGCGCACCCTAAGTGGCAAGTTTCCTGAATATTGGAAAACGTATATAGTGTGTAGTAGCTGAACCATTATCCTTTAGTTTATATCTTTACATAAGACATAAAACAATTCTTACTTGATCAGGTCGAAATCTATGCATAATCGGTCTTCCGGCATAATTAGTGGTGAGCAACCAATGGCGACGTTGTTTACCAGCAGTGCGGAAACCACTGGTTACCGCTCCGCGGTCAAAACGCCTCCAGCATTTTTGGTTGCTGCACAGTGGCAGTTCTCCACAAAAATCCACTACCATATATAAATCTTAAACAAAAATAAATAAAGTAAGGGAAATATACAAGCATCGTGCTCCTGAACCAAAAACGGCAGCCATTAATGCAAAATTAACAACAACTAAAGGTCAGCTGTAAGCAATTCCAGCTGTGAGGCGATCTGGTTTGGGAGCGGAATAAGAGTGTAAGGCTACACGCTTCGTTGTTAACGACGCCGGTGTGGATAAGAAAAAATGTACTCTTTCCATCCAAACACAGGCTGGATCAATAGTGTCCAGTAAACGAGTTCCTTGCCCACACTCCTTGTCTTCTTAGCACGCACCAGCGCGGTTGACGCGCGCATGATAACACAATTCCGCACTTCGCTTGATTGAACCGTGGCTGGCCTGAAAAGGCATTGGGAAATTAATAATTGCGATTGTACAGGAAATCTGGTAAGCAACGCTTTCTCTCGGGAAGATCGTGGGATGGGCTGCGCGGTCTCGAATATGTTTCGGACAGTTAACCGCGTAGCTCGGCTTGTCTTTACTTAAAAACATCTCGCCCTTCGCGTGATCAACAAGGACAGCTCACTGATATATGGAATGCATGATGCAACACTGCGGCCGCGACAAATAATTTCAGAGATGAGCCGTAACAAACAGCTCTTCCTCCTGTTTACGTAATACAACCGAAAAACAGAAGGAAGATTACCCAAGCAGAAGGGTTGACGCAAAGGAAAAGACGGTAGAACTGAATATTTAAGTAGTTCTGATCATCCACATCTGGCACACTAACTCCTGTAACATTACAAATGCCAGTGACGAACACAAGCAATTGCATTTTATAAAACGTATGATTATAATTAGCATTGAGGTCTTTTCTAAGTTGAATACGGAGTACATTCTAGATTGACACTTGGAAAGAATGTCTTCTATGTTTCCACGGTCATCGACAGATCTGTTGTGTGCAGTGTGGAAAAGTGATAATATTATCACGGTTATATTATAATCAGTTCCCCACACTGCAGACCGCAGACCGTATTTGGCAGTCCCAACTGGTAGAATACGGGAACTCCGCTTGTTCCACGGGTGTGGCTTTTTTAACCGTTTTAACCCGGTCCACAAAATCGTTCATCCGTTGTACCACCCTTTTTCAGTTCTAACAGGCGGGCGATCGCTTGTGCCGACGTTTGACAAGACATCGAAAGTCTCGCAAAACTGCAAAAGGTTCTCCCGGGCCAATTAAGCGCTTGCCAATCCGGCTGCACAGGATGATAAATCTTCGTAAAAAATATTCCGGCCGTTGAGTGTTACTTGTGACCTCACTCGGAGCACAGCATTGCATTGCGCCCTCCAACTTGGTTGCAGAACATGATGCTTGCCATTGCTTGGAGATGTCTTCATATTCGCGCTGCCTAATCTTTTAAATTCCGAGATTCATCGGAGAAGAGCATTAGAAA